CGATGTTTTTACGATCAGAGCCGAATTTGAACATTTCCTTTATCATGTATCCATCGGGTGTCAATTTCGGGACAGTGTGACAGGGGCTTTAACAAATGCAATGCCATTTTCAACCTGCATATTCTGCCTACTTGAAACGTTGATGACAATGTATCTGGGGAATTAAGTGTTGACTTGCTGGGAATTCAAGTTGTTAAAGTTGGTTAAAATAAAGGGAAATTCATCGATCTGTGGCACTCTTTTTACTTTAAACTTGGTATCAAGTATTCTAATCAAGAGGCTGAAGTCAAAGTCAAATCAGTCATTAGGTAAGTGTGACTCAAGGCAACACCTCTAGTTACTGGTGTTAAAAAATAACATCCTACCTTTTGGTCATATATTCTGTGACATGGCATTAAAGTCCCTTAACAAAAGACAATAACTCAAAGTACTCAGCTCTACTTCTATGATCTCAGTGTTATTCATAGAAACCATCCTACCAATACAGTTGACCCCGGTGTAATCCAGGTTGAAACCGAAGGGACACTCGCAGCGGAACGAGCCGTCTGTGTTGATGCAGATCCCGTTCTGACAGATGCCCGGGTTGTCCAGACACTCGTTCATGTCTAAAGAGAGCAAGAGAAAAAAACGTTTTAACAAAACCTCCACAATCGTCTACTGGAGTAGATTTGTGTTACGGCACTCACCTTCACGAGTATCGCCGAGTCCAGGCAGGGCGCCGTGCCCGAAAGGACAGAGTGTGTCAAAAGCTGCTACAGACACATAGAAAAAAAGGTACACATTATTATTTAGCAAATGTTTGTTTTTAGTGAAAATTGTAATCCCAGGCTCCTCTAACGATGCAAAATGCCATATATTTAAGACATAAAAAAGAAATAAATACATAATAATGCAAGTAAGATCAAGAAATAATAATATATATACATATAAAATAGAATAAGATAAAACAAATTGTGAAATTAAATACTGTAGAGTAGAAAAAAAACTGTTTATGTATAAATATGTGGATTTGTGAAGTTATTCAAAAACTACTGTAGGTGGTAAAAGATCTGTATGTGTGTGTGTGTGTGTGTGTGTGTGTGTGTGTGTGTGTGTGTGTGTGTGTGTGTGTGTGTGTGTGTGTGTGTGTGTGTGTGTCTGTGTCTCACACACCTTCGCTCTCTCGGGGGCACAGCTCGCAGGGCAGCCCCCAGCCCTCTCCGGGCATCTTGCTGCAGCAGCACTTAGCCTTGGTGGTGTTCAGAGCTTTGGGGACGGAGCACTTCCCCGCCTCAAATGAAGTGAAACAGAAGCTCTCTCTGGTGTCTGCCATGAGGAAAGAGATGGACGGTAATTGGTTGGTTATTCACGGGACACTCAAAGACAACATCACCACAGTATCAGGGATACAAGTGAGACAACACATTTATTCCAGATGTTCTCTCACCGTAGCAGCGCCGCTTGTTCTCCGAGAGGACGAAGCCCGGCTGGCAGGTGCAGTGGAAGCTGCCGGGGGTGTTGGTGCAGGCGCCAAACTGGCAGATGTTGGGCTCCACCTCACACTCGTTGATATCTGAGCAGAGAGCGAGAAGAGGAGGGGAGGATTAAGAGAGGTGGGGAGAGGGTGGAGGTGTTTTTAGAGCAGATGGCTGGGTTGTACTGGGATGCTGATGGGAGCATTTAGTCTGAGCTGAAGTGGGTATATCCCTCTATGTGTGTGTGTGTGTGTGTGTGTGTGTGTGTGTGTGTGTGTGTGTGTGTGTGTGTGTGTGTGTGTGTGTGTGTGTGTGTGCCTGTGTGTGTAACTTACCTATACACTGGTCGTTCTGCACCTCGTAGCCAGGAGGACAGATACATCTGAAAGATCCGTCCAGGTTCTGACAAGTTCCTGGAGAGCAGGTGCCGGGGAGGCTCACACACTCATTGATATCTGTGGACACATTTGAGAAGAATATGTGTTTAAGTCTCTGTACTGAAGACAAACGGTACTGAAGGAAATCTTGGGATGCAACTAACGATAACATTCCTTCATTGCTTGAATCGATTGGTCTATAAACTGTTGTTAATTACTGTATGGAAACAAAGTCCAAAGGCGAGTGTTGTTCGCTCAAAAATTGAAAGATTCTAACTTCAAAATGACTTAAAATGATATAAAATGGACAAGGGGCCCCATCGGTGAGGGGCTGAAACCAACACCTACTACATTTCTGCATGAACAATTATTTAAACGATTGAGCAATTTTCAAACAGTTGGCAAAATCTTCTTTCAATCAACAAATAATTGATCGTAATAAGTGTTGAAGCTGTAAAGAAAAACGTATAAATACTCCGCCCTGCTCTTATTTATCTTGTCTATTTAATGCCTGACTTACCGACACAGTTCTTCCCGTCCGGAGTGTTCTCGTAGCCCTCGTGGCAGAGACACTGGAAGGACCCCATCCCGTTGATGCACTGCCCGTTCCTGCACACCTGGCCCTGCAGAGCGCTGCACTCGTCGATGTCTGGAGGATAAACATGTCAAAGGTTAGGCATCTGAATTCTGACCTCCTTTAGAAACAGTATTAGAGGTTTACAGGAGCAATACATCCTGAAAACATTGGCTAGTGTATACGTTTCTTTCTAAAACTGAAGAGTCAAAACAAAGTCTGATTTAGGTGTTTCCCAAATGTAATACAACTACAGAGAAGGTTTCGGTTAAATGACTTGCACAGCCATTGTATTTCAAATCCAATTACGGCCTTAGTTTTAGATGCATTTTAGGACTTTGTAAGTATCTTGTGTTCCCTGGTGAATGATCCGTACCCATGCAGTCGTTGTTGTGCGTGAGCTCGAAGCCGGGGAAGCAGAGGCAGTTGTAGGAGCCCACCGTGTTCTTACAGGTGCCGTTACCACACGGCTGTCTGTCACACTCATCGATGTCTGGGAAACACAGAGAGAAACACATTTAGACAAGCAGATATAGGAAGTGTGCATCGTGTGGTTGCTACTGAGCAGAGATGGCAAAAGTACACACATCCTTTACTCAAGTAGAAGTACAGATACTCGTGTTTAAAATACTCTGGTGAAAGTAGAAGTACTGACTAAACTTCTTTACTCGAGTAAAAGTAAAGAGGCTTTGAAATGTACCCATAACTAGCAGCTGTTTTAAAGAGTACCTGACCTCCCTTTATATTAATAGAACAATAATGTCATTGTTAGCTAATGAATGTTTCCATGCTGAACAACGGCAACATGACAACGTTTTCATTGGTCCCTCTTCTTTAGAGAAGACCAGGAAATGATGGATACACGGATCGTGTTCAAATCAATAGGCACGCAATGACTCTAAATAATAATGATCACGCCACCAAACACACATTCAGACTAAAGGAACCAGCCTGTTTGGAAAATGTGAGAAGTAGAAAGTACAGGTATTTGTGTTCAACATGTAAGAAGTAGAAAGTACAGGTATTTGGGTTCAACATGTAAGAAGTAGAAAGTACAGGTATTTGTGTTCAACATGTAAGAAGTAGAAAGTACAGGTATTTGAGTTCAACATGTAAGAAGTAGAAAGTACAGGTATTTGGGTTCAACATGTAAGAAGTAGAAAGTACAGGTATTTGGGTTCAACATGTAAGAAGTCAAAGTAAAAATGTGTGAAGTAGTGGAGTAAAGTACTGATACCTCTGGCCACTGCTGTTATCCTGCAGAATGCCTCCGTTAGCAGAGTGGACCAATGATATTGAAGCCATTGGGTTGTTGCGTTCCCAGTTCCTGAGTGTTTCCCCCCAGCGGGCCCCCGGGGGCCTCGGCCTCTCTGAAATACTACATTAGAGCCATTAGGGACTGATGCTTGCACCGCGTCCTCCTCCACCTTTAGTGCTGCTTCTCAATCTTTTCACTCCATTTAAGGCGCCTAAAAATAAAGCTCTCTGATGGAGTGTGTGGGACAGCAGATTGTCACTGCGTTAGATTTCATGTTTCTCAAAAGGGAGATCCACTTTGCCACCGCTGGCTATTAGAGGGACACGAAACACGGTCTATATCTTCTGTTCTGAGAAAAAAGTCAGAATTCTGAGATTAAAGTGAGGATT